AAAAAGCTGCAAAATGTGAGACATCTCTACAACCCTTCCTCTTATGGAGATTTAAAAACAACGACGTGGAAACCATTTTTGTTACAACAAGAAGGAACAAAGAAGCAGCAATGTGTTGCATCATCAATGCATTAAAAACATGAATTACAGAAGCACGGTTGTGCATTCAACCAAGTCCATCAACCATTATTTGGTGTTAAAACTTCCCGTGTGAGTTATCGCCAAACACACCATTTACAGTCTCCTGTATCATCTATATATTAAAAACATAAATTGCAAAACACTGTTGTGGGTTAGGAAGCCCATCAGTTGCCAGTACATATTTTAAATTCCTCATGTGGGTTGTCCCAAAAGACCATTCCGCAGATTGCTGCATGTGTTTTGATGCCTGTGACTTAATTCCTGACTTATGTCAGTAATAAACAGGCGGCCCATGATGCCAGATGCCTCTGTAGTTGTTTGCTGCAACCTCAACATTCATGTCGTATTTATTTATTTATTTGCATGCCAAGGGATCTTGTAGCACCTTTGAGAGTAACGGGGGGAAAGAAATTGCATACATTTCATTTTGTGCCGACAGTGCCCTTCAGCAATTGACATTGGGCAAACAGGCCGGTGGTCTCTGTGCCAGAGGATAAATAATGGACATAAATCAGACATTGGGAATGGGAATAGACAAAAACCGGCTGCAGAAGAGTTCTATCATCCTGAACGTTTTGGACCTCAGGACAGAAGTCCTTGAACAAAAGGACTACAAATGAAGAATGGGAAGAGAAATAGCAGAATTGGAAGATATGCATAAACTTAAGTCCATCAACAGTGGGTTGAAGAGAGGGTTGAACAGAATCCTAGAATTGGAAGGGACCCCCAGGGCCTCCAAAGAAGGAGAAAAACCTCCAAAGAAGGGGACTCCAATATCTGAGGGAGTATATTCCATCGCCAAACAGCTTTTACCTTCAGGAGGTTCCTCCAAATGTTTAAGGGAAAACTCTTTTCCTGGAGCTTGAACCCATTGAGGCTCCATTGTGTCCTAGTCTCTGGAGCAGCAGAAAACAAGCTTGTTCCCTCCTTGATATGAAGACATTCCTTCAAATATTTAAACACGGCTATCATATCACCTCTCAGCCTTCTCTTCTCCAGGCTAAACATCCCCAGCTCCCTAAGTCGTTCCTCATAGGGCTTCATGGTTTCCAGACCCTTCACCATTTTAGTTGCTCTCCTCTGGACACGCTCCATAGACCATGAAAGGCTATGGAACACCCTTAAAGACATGATGGGAGCGCCAATACATCTGACAGTCCTGATGAGGAATCTGTACTCAGAACAGCGAAGGAACTTAATTGACTAATTACAACACAGACAATCTAACAAACAATAATAGCTCACACAACATGTGCATATGTATTAACAATAAAGACTCCACAGAATAATTCCAGACAAGTTTTGTATGCATCTACCAAGTCAAGCTTATCCTCCAAGGAATATAAGTCCAAAAAATAAGTTGTAGCATCTCAAGCAACCAGTTCATATGTGGTGATGAATGCTTGGACGGCTACCTCCGGAGTCCTTTTAGGGCCGTTTCGACATTGATGATGTCTTCCTCAGCAGATATAGGTGAGTTGTATCGGAATTGATATACTCAGATATTCCATTATTCTAAATGTGCAAAGTTCACACAATTAATACAATCCCTATTAGTATCACAATTTACCAATAATATGCTACATAATAATATGAG